CTGTAATACATTTTTAAAATTTAAATATTCGCCATATTATTTGATCACACCTCATATATCATTTTAAACTATATTCAAAATTTTAGCTCAGCAAATGCTTTTAGGAGCCTAATAAAAAAACTCTCTGTCTGATCAAGCTGTCAATAAACAGAATCTTACTTGATAATTAATTTCTAGCATACTCAATTTACAGGGTTGGCAAAGAAGCCAATGAACAAAATGCAGACACAAAAGAAATTTGTAGTTTACGAGTATGATACTAAATATATAAGCCTGAATGTATGAGCCTGGTTCTTGAACCTAATGGGTGCTTCTCCCAGGAGGGTCAGGACAGGCTTTGACAGCTCCAAAGCCTTGTACAGAAAGTCTGTGCCATTTTCAGCATCCTCAGTATGTAGCTGGGCATCTTACCTCTGTTCCTCATGAACAATAAGTAAGAGTCACCAGCCCTGAAGGAAAAATAATGCTTTCCAAGAAAAAAATTGCAAAAAATGAATCCTATGTTGGCAATCTCACTAGAAATGACAACAAAATGTTTGCTCATATCTTTAAAAAAAAAATAGCAAGGCAAAAGCTTACTGAGAGCTTCTCTACCATCTGAGAACTTTAATCCCATATCTGCCATAACAAGGTGTTTGCTAACGAATCCTGGCCTTTCTCTGTGTGAACACCAGTAAGATCAGCCATCTGACTTGGTTATTGCATGTGGGGAATCCTTACTCACCTCTTTGCTTCTGCTCTCTAGCCTGTTTATTAATATAAATAAATATATAAGTATAAAAATAAATAAATTTTGCCAAAAATGATGTTTTTATTCATCATTTTCACCCAAGCAGTCACTACATAAAATAATGATTTTTCTCCTCTTTTTCATCAATTAACTGCTTTGTCTGTTCTAAAAAAAATCTTGGATGAAAAAAGATTCAACTCAAAAATATTTATTTAGTGCCCATTATTTGCCAATCCATGTTCTAGGCACTAGAGGTAAAGGAGAGGACAAAATAGGTAAGAATCTGCGTCCACATGGGGCTCATATCTTATTGGGAGGATCCCCTGCAAACCGTCTCAGGAGCAGAGCCCCTCCTGGTGCAGCTAGCCTTATTGGACCCAAGTCTCATACCAGTTATAGCTATATTTCACTTGCTTCTGCTGCCTTTGGCCAGTTCCTCATCTTTGAGGCCACTGACAATCTTCACCAATGAATCAGACCCATTCAGCCTCCCAGAGCAGTTTTCACTTGGGCAGGATGTGTGCCAAGATTCATGGATCAGAAAACTTGAAATTATTTGCTGACAGCATTTCTGATGGCCCAACTGCAATGGCTAGCCTTTTTCCTCACTATCACCTGAGAAAACTGCTGAAAACTTGGGCCTGAATTATGAGGAGCAAGGCAGTAGCCTTCTATAAAGCACCCAAGTAACAGCAAATTGGAATTTGGTAGGATCTGTCTGGTTTCTCTCTTAACTTATCACCAATTTGCCCATCTTCCATGATGCTCCACTAATATCAGAGCCCAGTATTAAAACCCAGTCTATACCCTGGATCTAATACTCTGCCTATCTCCCAGTAAACTTCTTACCTGGGCCTTGGGGTCCTGCCACATATGGTCAAATTTCCCAGATACCTACATGACACTTAATTCAAGAGTGATGGCAGCATATGGCTATGATCATGGGCTTGGGAGTCAGGCTTATTGGAATCATGAATTGAACATATAAGGTCTTGAACAAATGATTTAATCCTCTGTGCCTCCATCCCCTTGTCTGTAAAATGGGGACAATAACAGAACCCACCTTGCAGGGCTGTTGTGAGCTTTCAATGACTTATTACATTAAATACCACAAATATTACTTGCTACATAGTAAGGACGCCAATGTTTTCTACCTCATGAATATTTAATTCCTGCTCCATTGCCAACACCCAACCAGAAAAATGGAATGGATCTGAATCTTGCATCCCTTATCTACTTTGCTTGGCTCTTCCAACTGAGTCCCCAGGGCCAGTTTCTTTACTTGTGTTAGTTTGCCCTAAACCCCAGCTCTCTTCACAGGCAGAGTTCATGGCTTTCTTGGATGGCTTCAAATTCTCCAACAATTTTGTTATATGGGTAAAGCACCCAACAGAGTTTAATACTTAACAACTCCGATAGCATTAGAAGCCAGCACCATGCCATTCTTTTCAACATTAAGCATAGTCTTAAATATCTGTGCCTTATTTATGTCATCGGTAGACTGGAGACAGACTTAATGAGAGAACAAAATCTTGTTTCCAAAATTCTTTAAGCTGACAGAGAAAGGTTATATTAATATAGCATGGTGGTGTTAATCATGTTGCAGATATAAAAATTACAGACTCAAAGGAATAAAAGCCTATGAATAGCTAAGTCAATCATCTATTTTTAAAAAGATTAATGAGGGAGATTCACCCTATAAGAATCTAAAAGTTGTTATCAAACCACAGAAATAAATACAGTATGATATTAGTACAATAAAAAACAAATAGATCAGTGAAACTTACTAGAGAGCTTAGACAAAGACCCAAATATATATAGGGGTTTACTATAATATAAAATTGGCACAACAAAGCGATAAAGAAATAATAGATTATTTAGTATAGTAGACCATGTTGGGAAATTAGCCCACCATGTGAAAGAAAATAGAATTGGATTTTATATGATCTAGATGTAAAAAAGTATAGTTAATAAAAGAAATCACAGGACAATATCTTTCTGACCTTAAGATGGAAGAGCATTCCATAAATAAAAGTTCAAAAGCACAAAACATGAGAAAAAATGATGGCTTTGATTATATTAAAGGATTTTTGTTGGATGAATGATACCATGAAAAAAGGTGAAAAAAGGGAAGGAAACATTGTAATGACTAAAACCAACAGAAAATTTATATCTAGAATATAGAAGGGCCTTCTAAAAATCAACCAAAAAAAAAAAAAGGCAATTCCAAGACATATAATGAGCAAGGTAAAAAAATACACAATGTACAGAAAAATTGGTAAAAATCTAACAAGCACACAATGAAATATCCAAACTCAGTGACAATCAGGAAAATGTAAATTAAAACAATAAAGCAATATACCTGTACACCTACTACCCTGGCAAAAAAAAAAAATTAGACAATTGTAAATTAGAGAACAATGTAAGATAATTGTCAGGGATGTGGGAACATACAAAACCTTTTTCTCTATAGGGTGGAGTGTTGAATAGCGCAACCATTCCAGAGAGCCATCTGGCACACCTAGAAAACCTAGAATATGCAGAAGCTCTGATCCAGCAATTTCTACTCCCAGTGAAATCCACAGGGACCATGTTCAAGGTTATTCCTTGCAGCACTGTTTGTTTGATGGAAGGAGTTGGGGGACATCTGAGTGTCTATCCATCAGTGGAAAAGTGGGTAGATAAAAAATAGTGGGTGGGCTTCATGGAGTTGCACTGTCTAAAACAGGAGCCACTAGCCACGTGTGGCTACTTGAATTTAAATTTAAGTCAAGAAAAATTAAATAAAATTTAAAACTTAGGTCCTCAGTCACACCAACCACACTTTAAATGTTCAATAACCACATGCAATCAGTGGCTACTATTTTGGATAGTACAGATAGAACATAGTTTCATCATCAAAGAACATTCTATTGAACAGTGCTGTCATGATGAACTATGCAGCAGTTCTAAGAAATAGAGTAAATGTTCTCACAGCAATATAAATGGTACCTAAACACATAATGCCTAGAGAAAATAATTTGAAACAAAATTAAATATATTCTATAGCATCATTTACATAAATTAAAAATATGCACAGAAAATAATACTACACATTAACCAAGTTAAATGACTTAAATAAAAGATGCACATTAACCCAAATGAATGGGATTGGAGTAGAGTGTAGGTACATAAGGAAAGAACTGACTCCATCCATACAGATTTTTGAGCTGAGAGGAATTTTAGAATATCAGATATACACCCACATTGTGTTTGTCCTTTTGGGCAAGGTCAAAATTGAATAAAACATGATGCCTAAAGCCAAGGAGCATATAGTTCATTTGGGCCATGAATCAAATACCCAAAGAAAAGTAATACAAAAATCAAAACACTTTGATAAGCACCCAACAAAATGAAAGCTAACCTGAATTCAAAGCTGGGAGAGATCAGAAATGATTTGGGGAACTGATACCGCATACGGGCCTCAAAGATGGTGGCGGGAAATGAAGAACTGGAACAATAGCACTCTAGGTAGGCAGAACAGCTTGCACAGGAATGGCAGAGAATCGGAAACAAAGTCATCAAAGGAGGCTAGATCATGAGGAGCTGGTAGGGGCACATAGATACCAGGTAACCAGATTGCCTAGTGCACCTGGGAAAGTCCTGACTCATGTTGGCTGCCCCAGAATAATTATAAATGCACCCCTTTCCCTCTCAAAGTGTCCCAGTTTGGATGATAAAATATATGATCTTCCTACATACAGAGAGAGAAATAGGCTGACAAAATAATTCAACAGAGAGGTATTAAAGGCTTTCAGGTTGCGTATTGATTATGTACATTGCACAGTTGAATAAGTATTTCTCTGATGTGGTACTAATTAGTATAGGCACACAATTTAAATGTGCATTTTTAGACACATAACTTTTTCTGAGATCTTTAGAAATGATGAGCTGATCCATGAGAAAACAGAATAATTTAAATAAGAAAATTTAAATGTGTTTCAAGACAACTGACTTGAAACACATCAACATCATCTCTATTACAAAGAATTAGGCTCCAATAAAGCTAACTGGAATTTTCACCTAATAGTATGAAGCTGTTGAAGCTAGCACCGAAGCCACCCTTGTTAGAGCAAACTTAATGGCAGGTGACATCAAATTAAAACTGCCACATGTATCCTGTTACATATTTGTAGGAACATGGGAAAAATGCAATTAGGAAAACTCAATTACAATCAGAATGTGGTTAACATTTTGATTACTAAAAATAAGTAGCTAAAAGCACAATTACCTCAATTTTGGTTAAGAGGTCTTGCAGTTCTCCTGATTCATTCATCGACAAAATTTTCTCAGCACCCTATTAAGAGGGGGGGGGGGGAGAAAATCCATTTTGTTAGTATCGAAGAAAATCAAGTTCTAGCCAGGAAAATTTAACCCAAAAAAAACAACACGATTCTTCTCTTCAAATCTAAGTAACCTTACAACAAGAAGGCCAAAGAAGAGAAGAAATTCTCGTCCCACCTTTAACATATTCCCCCATCTACCCTGAAAATAAGACTTAACTGGAAAATAAGCCCCAGCATGGTTTTTCAGGATGCTCGTAATATAAGCCCTACCTCAAACATAAGCCCTAGTTAAGACTGTCAGCCAGACATGACTGTTTGAATAACTGTTGATTTTTGTACATGAATAAATGAATAAATGTAGAAGTTGGAGTAGAAATTAATATAAGACCCTGTCTTATTCTCGGGGAAACATGACAGTAAGGCTTAGTGTGGGCAAGAGAAGGACCTCCAGCATGAAAACGCACAACTGTCAGGTTAAGTCCAGATATGACAGGTTCCAGCACACCCTCCAGAGTTGTTCGGGGAGCCTGAAGCCAGCTCTACCATCTGGAAAGGAAGCCTTTGACCAAATTCCCAGGCTGGGCTGTCTCTGCTCTATCTCTAGCAGCCTGGACATGGCTTTCCATAGTCATGCATGTAAAGCTAACAGCAGCTACTACTGATAATAAAATTAATAACCACCAATACTAATTAATCATGCACTGTGAGCTAGGAACCCAACATCACTTAATTTGATGTGGTAGGCTCTGTTAATTGCAGAAATGGAGCCTCAGTGAGATTATATAATTTCAAGGTCACCAAGAAAGGAAGCAGAGTGAAAATTTGAACACAGGCAGGGGACTTACTCCAGAACCAATGTTTGTAACTTCTAAAACTTGAGCGTGAAAACGAGAATGGGGGCAATGTATGGACTTTCCAACAAACGTAAGCTTCTTCTATAATAACTACCACATTTTCCTTCCCTTTCCAGCCTCTTCTCACATTCTCCCACTCTACTTCCCAACATATAGTCTTAGAAGGGGGAAGAAGGAAAACATGGGGTAATTATTTCTAATCAAAAGCAGAGGCCACATCTGCCTTGTTCACATCAGATCCCCAGCACAAAATGTTGAATCCACTATTGATTAATCAACAAGCCAGGGAGTAATAGCATCACACAAAAAATACTTTTTGGATTTCTGTTTGTGCCGGGCAGGATGGAAAACACAAAGACTCGCTTAAAAAATGAAAAGGTCCCAGTTCTTAAGGAGGTTATAATATACTTTTATGTAAACACAAAACAAAGGAGCCCACAGTGAAGAATGGAAAATAAGTGCCAAAGGATTGATGCAGAAAAAGGGCGAGCTAGGAAATCCCAATGCGTGGGGGTGGGGTGATCTGCTTGCTGAGGAAAGAGAAGCATTTCTGAGGTTGGTGGCATTTGGTCTGGACCTTGACGATTGGGTGATTTCTAAAATAAGGCAGCCAATTACTGTCGTGATGTATAGGAGCCTTTAGTTCTCTGGGTTTCATTTTACTTCAGTTTATCTTATATAATTCATGTCATTTTAATCACCATCAGAAACGTCAACTTGATATATTAAAAAGCACTAGGAATGAATACGCAGGGCTATAGAGAATATATATAGCTCCATGAGGCAGGTTATATTCTTTTATTTGTGGGTACTTTTGCCAGGAATACAAACGTGAAACACCTAAAGTGAGAACAAAGGTAACAAAAGCAACAAAATAAAACATTAAAGTAAAACATTAAAGTCTAAAACGTAGTAATATCTGGAAATATTTTACTTTTGCTACATTCTATTTCTTTTAACGGGAAAAGCCTCTGGGGAATTTGGTCCATGAACTCAAGCAGTAAGGAGAATATAAGAGTCATTTTTCTTCAGTGAAAGGAAATGCACTGCAAAGACTCCAAACAGAATGAATGCACCAGAGAAGCTACCACACCTCTGCTTCTCAGCTCTTATCTTAGCAGTCAGTGCGCTTTAGTCACTTGTTTGGAATACAATGCAAAGGTCAGCAAATGACTATCTCATTATCCTTAAACGCATGAAATTTACTGTGCCTCAGTCAAATAATTCCAGCACCATCACCACTGTGGAAGTAGATTCCATGTTTCAGGAGACATGCAGGCTTTGCCCACTCCAGCAACATACCTAAAGTCATAATAGTCACTGCTCTTCAAGACACCTGGATGTCTAGTGCCCAGGTGGTGTACCAAGTGCTTAAGGTGGGAAAACAGAGACCTGGGGGCTACTGTCCAGGGTCCCTCTCTCTAATGCTGCTACGCAATGTGGCCTCCACCCACAACTCCACCTGGCCAGCCTGCAGGTCCTTTCCTTGGGAGGACTCCTCTGACCCCTGTGTCACATACAGAGCAGAAATTGTAGTCAACCCACCCCTGCAATTCCCCATGTGTTTCCACTTCCCTGTGCTTCACTTGACCATGTTCTTGACAAACCTAAGTGTGAGATGCTATGTGTAGGACAGAGAAATCAGAGGGCACCCTCTCTGCTCCTGACCTGCAGCAACAGGATGGAGGTCTCATCCTAGTTGGCAAGTTTCTGGGAAAAAGTAGATTCCTCTCATCCTGAGGCTTGGGACATTTATCAGGGCAGCTCTCAATCTGCCCTGCTCTGCACTGCATTCACATATTCCAAAGGTCTCATTTTCTACAGTTCTCCATTGCATTTCAATTATTACCTAGCCTTTAAAGGAACCCTTGGGTCCACAAAGGACAGTGTATTTCCTTAAGTACCGATATTATTAGGAAATAATGTTTTCCTGGATGGTATTTAGCTAAGAATGTCAGATATGACTTTGTTACTTTTTAAATGTAATTCAATGAAATACATTCAATTAAATAGCTTACCAAGGTTTCCAGGATACCTACGAAAAAATTCTAGCATATTTTTCAATTGATTCATAATCATTTTTTTCTAAAATATTAATGCAATCCTGAAAATAACGATGATAGTGATGTGTTAAGTGTTTTACAGACATTGGCTCTTTTAATAATTAGTACAAAGTAAGCATTATTATCAAAATTTTTTAAATGAAGAAACTAAAGCTTAACGAGAATAAGGAACATGCCCAGAACCTTTCAGTTAACCAATATAAAGCCGCCAGATCTAGAACTAAGGTTGCACTGACTCCAAAACCTATACTCTTTCCATTGTGTCATGCACACTGCCTGCTTTCTTATATAACATAATTGTATCCATGAAAAAATGATACAGGTAATGCTCACTCTGGGGAACATGGCAGTGTGTGGTTGAGTAGGTGCCCAAGAAGCTCAGATGAATGAAAGCTTTCATCACAATAACTTCAAAAAGAATAGATGTGCCAGAGAAGCTATAAAGCATCCCAGTTCTTTTTTTTTTTAATCTCAGCATCATGCCTTATTCAGCTATTTCTAATATGCTGCATATGCCAGGAAAGGATCTATTTCATTACCCTTCCATACATGAAATTAGCTCTCCTCTCAGTCAATACTTCCCACCTTAAAATTCTGAGCAGTGGGCTGTGACATGTGAACAGCCACTTTACATGTAACAAGCATCTCAGACAAAGATAAGAGAGTCTACATAATCTTTTCTCATATGTGGGTCACCAAAGAAGAGATTCATCCCTTCCAAGAACAAGAAAAAAGTGAGAAAAGAAATTAGCCCCATGCTGAGTAGGACTCCAGAACACTTGCCCACCACTTCTGATCCGTGCAGGTGCAAAGCATGCCACCACATACATTCATGCTTTCATGCTTGTGTCTATTCATTCATTTCCACGGTCAGCACTCTTTTCAGCCCCCATTATGGGTTAGGCACTGTGCTAAGTGTGAGAAATATAACAATAAGAAGAAGAAAAAATAATTTCTCCCTGTTTCTGAGGGAATCTTTTGGAGAAAACAGATGATAAACAAAAGATCACATAAATAAATGTAAACTTATAATTACAAAAGAAACATTGGTACAAAATGTTACGAAAGCTTATAATAAGGTGAATTTAACCAATTTAACCTAATCATGACGTGCAGGGAAAGCTGTCTCCATTAAGTAATGATTAAATAATCTTTAGGAAGAATAATCATTAACTGAGCACATGGATAGAATGAGGGAAGGAATTAATGAGGGCACTAAGGTTACCAAACATTATATGCACATGACCCTTTGTGGTCACTTTTCTTTCATTCAAAATAAGAAAATGAAACTTCCTATCATATTCTGCATAGTATTTTGGATCGGTGCCCTAAAGAAATCATAGGTAAGATACTGTTAGGTCTCTTAATGTTAGAGACATTGACTTAATGTTAGGTCTCAGAGACCTTGACTCACAGACAGAGCCATGTTTGCAAGAAAACAAAATGTCTGTTGGCCTGCACCTGCAGACAGAGCCAAACTTGTGATAACAGAAAACGCCACAAAACAGCTACTGGCTTACAGGCAGTCAGCATTTTTTGTTCAAACAATGCTACTCTGTCAGCACCGCCCCTATATAACCCTCCTCACCTCTCCCTTGGGGCTGCAAGTCTCCTTCAGACATGCAACCAGGGCTGTAGCCATCTTCGCTCAGCCCGATAGACTTTCTCTTAATAAAATAGACTTTCTTAAACTTTCTTTACCGATCCACCTATCAGCATTCCTTTACCGGCCAACCTATCAGATACCAGGCCACATTTTAAGCAATCTATTTTAAAAATAAGCTGAAAACAATAATAGATTGGTATAAACCAGCTTATATTTAGCACCCTCTTCTAGGTATCTGGGAAGAGTTACTAGGTCAAGAGTTTCCAAACACCATTATAAAAAAAAAAATTTTAAAATAAATAAATACAAACATTTAAATTTTTTTTCTCAAAAATTTTTTTAAATCACACACAGATTTTAGCTATTTCCATGCTGATATATTTCCATGTTGATATCCAGACTCTGGTTTGAACATGGAGTAGTGCTTGAAAACTATTGACCTGACATTTCGGAGAGGTCTAGAAGAACTAGAAAAATGTTCTCACTAA